GAAAATGTTACCAGTCCACTCACAATATGTAGATAAATTGCAACTGTAATGTACAAACCAGGTATGTAAGATGTAATTTTAGTGCAAGCTCTAATAAAAGTTAATAAATACAAAAGTATCAAAGCAATTAGATCGATAGTTTTCAAGAAGAAGTCGAAAATGCAATTGTTGACAGATGATGATGGACAACCACCTATACGAACAGCACCACTCTGTCATCTACGAAAACAGCAGAGCTTATAAGAGGGTCTATGACCTACCTGGTTAAGATTAAGATTATTATCAATGCAGAGTGGAAATAGGAATGGTAATACTTTGGTTGCAAGAATTTCTTTAGTTATTCCAAGCTTCTTGTGATCTAATGAAGTCTTGTAAATACCTACAACAAACAATATCCCATTAAGATTGACCAAACAGAATATGATGATGGAACTTTCCGTTTTTTCCAATGGCAAATTCATAAACCTAAATAAATGTTTTTTATACAGTATGTAGAAATTACAAAGTTACTGTTTCCATGGAAACAATGTAGGGTATAATTTATTAAGGAAAAGAATTTGTAGTAAATTTTTCGTATATTTAGTATGCATCCTTAAAACCAGCACACAAGGAATGGTTTGTCAATAGCATGGCCAGACACACATACATCTATCATATGGCCAAACTTGGTACCTAGGGACAGGATAGCCAGCCAACTAGTAACAATTTACTACTCTGTAAAATGAGGACTTACCTAACATAGCCATGAGTACAGCAGGTTCTCGAGACGGAATCTCTTGTAGTAACGGCAGAATTTCATCTAAAACGTACCATTTATCCATGTATTCTAATAGTTTACCAATGCATATTAAACAGTTCACACGCACCTATATTTAGAAAATACAAGTAAATTTCAAGTAATAATAGGAACCACAAACTAACATATTTCAAAGAATGAAATTTATGAACACAAACAAATGCTTGACTTGAATTGACATTAAACACAGTGGTTTTAAATTCTATACCAATGCATAGTGGAGTCCACAAGCTAATGATAACTATAAGTAGACACACCACCTTAATTATAAACCAAAATGTATACCCGAATTACATTTTTAATGATACTTACTGACAGTAAATCTGTGCGTAGACAGAGTGTCTTAATTCTTGGTATAATTGAGTGTTTCATGGATGAGTATTCAATCATCGAAGCAAAGGTTGGAATAATTGACAAACACAATTCCTGAAAGTGACAAAATATACTTCATGGTTAGCTTGAATCCAGCCATCTGATTGGCTGAAGCAAGGTCTTATATCTAGCACTAGAAGACCAAAAACTGAATAAACTGGCTTGAATTTCAGGAGTGTGAACACTGTTCATAGAGAATGAGGGTGTATGATCAACTGATCAAAGCAAGGAAATCTGGTACAAGTACTAATGCAAATTATTATTGCTAAAACTTTCTATGAGAAACATGCGCATTGATTGTAGAATAGCGTTGAATCAATCATGTGACATCTTCAACATGTCTGTAGCTTTCATTTGCCAGGCCTGTCATCAGTTTGGTAAATCAACATAAATGCAAAAATCACAACTAGAAACAACGTATTTTTCACTTTTTTAGCTTTGTTTATGTGCAGAAATAGTGCATGGTTGGTATTACTGCTAGATCGTTGATATATATTAGAATTTTTGATTTTGTCATGCGCCTCGCCTATATACGCGCATATTCTATGGAGTGTGTTTCATCCCTGGAATTGAAACACAAAATCTAGAACGCACACTACAAAGCAGGTAAATTCTAAATATACTAATTTTCCACAGAGAGGTCTTCTATCCACTACCAAATAACTGAACATACTGTTTATAATCTCTTAATAATTGCATCGTGTGTAGAATTAAATAATTTTATATTTATATCTGAGAAAAAATAATAAACTCTGCCGTATTTTTATTTTTGACCAACAGGGTAATCACACATTTATTAGAATAGGTAGCAATACCTGTATCTGAGGTGAAGGCGTTTCCAATGCTTTGTATACCATAGGGAGTACATGATGTTTGATATCATCTGATGGAGTCTTACTCAGAAGTAAATCCATTTTATGCAAAAATATCAGTAAAATCTGCAACAAAATAAGCTTAGTTAAACATATACCATATTCAAAAACCGCTTTTTGATCGAATTAACCGCATTGAACCACAATTCGAGTTCCTTTCGCCTATCCGTAAACTTACATATATTTTTTCTCAGGATAACCATGAAATCATCCAAATTATTGCAAGATTTGTATACACAGCTTTTCAGATTAGATACGATTTGTTAGTGTGAGTCCTCCAATAGATGAGTTGTATATGTGTGTGTGTATGTGTATATATATATATATATATATAATACTTTATTTTATTGAGGCGATTAAAGTCACGCCTGTAACTTTCGCATTGTAACCTGTTCCCCCAGGTTAGTGGGGTATATTTCTTTAGAGAAATGGAAATAAAATAATAATAATAATAATATAAAAAAGGAAAATCTGTCCAATTTCATAATAAAATATAATATAATTTACATTAAAGCCACAAATTCACAACAATTTAAAACTAGAGGGGGAAAGTACCGGTAATCTGATTGCACAAATAAAATGGCTGTGAACACTGACAACACTCCCTAAAACAGTCCACTCTATCCAAATATAAATACAGTCATTATCAAGTTGGGTATTAAAGATGCGAAGCTGGATATTCATACTACGTGGTGAATCAAATCAAACTATATAAACTAGTACTAGTAGTACAGAAACAATCTCCAATATCATGATAACAGGACAAATTAGTTGATCTAGCACTGAAAACAACGGAATTTGCCATTCCATAAAAAGCTGTACCAGAATTTGTTCTAAAGCATATCTGCACTCATACAATGCTTGGATTTCCCCTTATACCAGATAAACTACATCACCAGCATTGACTTGTTCCAGGCTATTGATATAATATTTGTTCATACAGCACATAACATTTTTGGTTTCAGTCTATTACTACAAGGCCAGACTTTTTTTATTCCTTGTTTCTCGAGTTTTTATAAGTCAATTTTTTTGATGAGGGCGGAAAAAAAATAAAATTATTTCTTTTTTTTTCTATTAGATGTATAACCTGGTTGGCAATGTCGCCAATTGTGGCACCATTTTCAGCGTTAATGAGGGATTTCTCGGTTTTTGACGACAGAGTTTCATGGCGTGGTCGCCATGTTCGCCTAGTAGTCTTAAGCAGCATGCAGGGAGGTCAAGACCCGAGATTCACTGTCAACCAACGCGCATAAAGTATAGATCTGTGCGAGACTTCGGTATTTTGATCATGATACTCCCATGAATATGGATATGTTAGGCGGCGGGCGGAAAAAAAATGATAATAAAAATAATTTTGTTAGCAATTTTTGCACCCACAAGTCAGCGGGTGTGCTGAAATAAAATTTTATTATAACATTTTCGGCTCCTGTTTATTTGGCGGGTTCGCTAAACAAGGGATAATAAAAGTCTGACCCAAGCAGAGAAAAGATGCATAGTGCATAGACCTCCACCACCCATAGGTTGATTTGATCACAGTACTGCCTTTGTACATACATTTCGATATCCTCGAGATAACATTTATTTACCTGGATAGGTTCTTGCAATTTAAATATTGGTTTTAAATGAGGGAATATAATAGTGGTGTACTCCTTCTGTGTACAAGACTCTGCAATCAGTAATACATTGGGCAAGACAAATGGAATCATTTCACTATTATAAAACTCTTTAAATAGACATGGTAGAACTCGCTGAAGAACCACTCTCTGCAAAAAAAAATTTATGATAATTTGTTACAAAATCTCAACATAGAGGGCAGACATCAACCAGTCAGAAAGTGGTTTGATCACTGTCAATAAAAGTGAATCCCTCAGCAGTTTAAAACAACAGAACAAACAATATCAAAGACTTTTTCTTTTAGTCTATGCAAATATCTGGTCACCTAATATTTGTGTTTTTATTTTTGTACCATGTTATGTGTTTTGTTAGTGAAAGAGAAGGATGAACTGTCTTCCGAGCTATGGTGACTGTAGTTGTTATGTACCCTGGCCCTCCCTTCTACTTTCATTTGTATGAGTAATTGTGACTTGCTTTTATCAGTGATGTATATTTGTATTGCTTTGAATTTTAGTGGCTGAATAAATAATAACAATAATTTATGACCAGGTCAAAACATGCATGATTCATTTTGTCCCAAAATAGGTATAACCAAAGTTGGACTGAAACATGATAGTTGTATTACCCCAGTAGTTCACAGGTGTTCAGTAGTTTGATCAGTGAAGTGCCTTCCTTGTCGGTGTTTTAATGTAGCAATGTTATCTTTTGATTATCTAGTATGATATTGAAGAGTCTGCGTACCATATTAGTTACTAGGCAAAGGGCAGACAATGAATTTGGTACGGTTGTACAATTTGCATGAGACAGTTATTACAATGATGCACATACCTGTTACCCTTCCATGAAAATAGGTAACCAATCAAAACACATGTTATAGACTAAGTTCAATGTCTCTTGTATGTATTATGGCATATGATTGGTAATTAATGTAACTTTGGGTTTTTTGCCAATATGTTATTCACATTTACCTGACAATTTAGTAAAAAATTGCTACAATCAAAGACACCCAGAACAGGAGGACTACTTTTACATACAAATATTGATTTTTTAAAGAGCTGAAGAATTCGTATACAGAAGTCAATCTAATAAAGCTCTTGTTAAAATTTGGTTATTTTTAACATGAATGGGAATTCAGTCCAGCAGTTAGATGGGTAATAATAGCCAAGAGAATGAGGAAGTGCATTACATTTGTTTACATTTATATTGTTATAAATTTGCAGCAAATTCTGAATAATTTACAGAGTTTCTAATATAATAATAAATGTTTTATAAGATTCAATAGAAATGACTTTCCCATAATGCATTGCATACATGCTTAGTAGCATCCTCGGTAGATTTCCTTTTTATATGTGACATACCAGGCCACAGAAACAACACTGTTTATTTCACTGACAAACTTGTCCATATCAAAACAACAATACTGAAATATGAAAAAGGCTACATTAATTACAATATCTTGTGAGAAAGAAATTACAATGTTTACAACTTGCCATGAGGAAATGAAATTACAACTAACCTTGGGTAACTTTGATATTATTTGAGGAAGTCCTTTGAAGAACTGAGATTTCTGTAAATTATCTAACTGAAACAAAGAATCCAAATGCTCCAGTGTCTTGGCACCAACATCGTCAAAGAAAGATATCTGAAAGCAATGACAGAATTTAAATGCACTGCTATAGTTTTCAGACTGTGACAGAAAGATATCTGAAAGCAATAACAGAATTTAAATGCACTGCTATAGTTTTCAGACTGTGACAGAAAGATATCTGAAAGCAATAACAGAATTTAAATGCACTGCTATAGTTTTCAGACTGTGACTAAAAAAGACTCTCAGATGCATCTCAAAGGCAGAAAGAAATCCATTTATTTTATGCAAAGGTGCTTTTTACATCTGATTACCACATTTTGGTTTAATATTACATGCATTTTAAAAATGAATGACAAGTTATAGCTAAGAATATACTTTACCTTAGTAAGTTGGTGTGCATCTGGACGAATGGTTGGCGTTATACTAAACAGCATTTTAACATAATCTCGTAATACTTCCGGAAGACAATTCAGTAGTGTGAGATTTAATGAGGATAACTGGAATGGGAATAAAAGCATGTAAATTGCATGATATTGCTTTAAAAATAAAATGTCAAAACAAGTATATAATTTTGTATTTTTAGTATGAATGTATCAATCTTCACTATGTTATATTGCAATAATGTTATTCAACCACAACTATGCGATATTTCAGAGTAAACTGACTCTCACCTGTTGACAATTACGTTGGTATGTCTTTAAGTTAGCATTGCAATCAAACAATGGTTTACCGTGGTTAAATAATGTATATATAAGCATACCCAATGAGTACATATCACTGGCAGTATCACAGCTGACAGTACGGATGTACTCCGGTGCAAGGTAATTCAGTACTGGCTGCCCTATATCGGGTAAACTAGGATCCCATTCTTTGCAGTTGTAGACAGCCTAAAAGTCAATCACAACACACACGTATTAAGGTAGTCTGCTACCATTAAAAAAATACTCAAAAATCCTTGAAATCAAGCAAGAGTGGTTGGGTTAATACTGTAATGTTCAAAATTCTAAAATAAAAAATAGATTTTTCAATAGTTTACAATTACAGAATGGCAGAAACATTCAATCCTATCTCAACATTTTGTTTGATGACCTACGCTAAAAATAGTATGATATATAGTGTTACAAGGGCTACATACAATGCCATGAAAAATAGGAGAATTTTGAATCCATGGAATAATATGTTTACAATAAAATGCTGCAAAATTGTTTTAGATTATTTTGCATGTTTCCTTGGAAACACATTCTTATTTCTCCGTAAACATATTAAATATGAATGACCTGCATGTATGTGAATCATCACACAACAATTTTTAATGATTTACTGTGATCGATTTTTTCAATGTTTGAATAGTAACATGTTACAAATGTGTGATACCCAAAGTAAGAATTTGACATGTTTTTGCAGTTGGATGGAGAGACCAGATATTTATTCTCAGTAATAATGAAGACTTCAGACAGCTTTATTGGTGATAATTGTCTGAGCTAAGTCGGTTGTCATCAGATAAACAGCAAGACCACAATCATAGTAAGAATATCCAAGATCTTGGTCGGAATAAATTTACGCTGTTGCTGAATAAAAATGTCTCAAAAGAACAACTTCTTGCCAATGAGTGGTGAGGATAAAAATATATTAGGTCTCCTCAACAGAGAGAAATACCAGGGTCCAATTAAGACAGAATAAAAGAGCAGATTGTACAAATTATAAAATTTGTAAAATTAATTTTCACACAGACACAGATTGTCAAAGAACACAAATGTTGTTATCTAAAAATGTTTAAAGAACTGCTATTGTTTTAAGTTGCTATGTTAATTGCTAGGTGTTGAAAAAATGTATCTGATTTTAATTTAATGATTAAAATTAATGAGATTCTCATCTAAATAAAGCAAGTACATTGAGTTTGATCAATTAATTGATCGATCCAGTGTTCGAAGTGAATAATCACACGACTTCATGGAGGTAGATCACTTAGTCATTGAATGGAATGAAAACCTGAAACTATAATTTTATTCCATCATAGTATAATAAAGTAAATGGTGTTTGCACAATGATATATTGGCAAAATACAGACATCTACACTGTGAATTAAATATCTGGAAAATCTTGAGAAGAACCCTGTGTTTTCATAGAATTTCATTGCACCAACAAATCAAGTTGAGTATAAAAAAAAGAATTCTTCAATTTTCTCTCCATGATTTCTCTGTTCTGACTGATATAAATTTGAATGAATCACTTACCTGACCACTATCATGTTGTTTGGTTGATGAAGGAATACAGAAATCTAATCCTGATAATTTCCATGATCCATTGCTATTAATAATCACATTTGCAGGAATAATATTACCATGTATCAAATGTACATCATTGTGTAAAAACGCCAATGCTTCAATCACCTAGGCAACAGAAATACAGAGTACCGGTAAAACAAAAGCAAGATTTCATACAATTGATATGAACAGGGTAGAAAAAAAATGATTTGTCACTAATAAAACAGACCAAAGTATCACCTCACAATTGGGTATAATCAAAATTTAATCTAACATAGAAGAAAATCAGCAATTTCATTTGCATTACTATTTTTAGTAGTAGATTAGATTTATATTTGAAAAACTATTATAGTGATTATAACATGACTTGCTTCAAATACACAGACTCAAACGATGATTTTACTGACACATTCTGCTAATAATACAACATGACACCAAAACCGTCAAATAATGCTATAATACAGCACAACATCAAAACCGTTGAATAATGCTATAATACAACGGACATCAAAACTGTCAAATAATGCTATAATACAACGTGACATCAAAACCCTCAAATAATGCTATAATACCTGTTGTAAACCGTACTTAATTTCAACATCATATAACTCATAGTCTTTGACCTCAGTTGGTACTGGTGATGGAAGATTGTCATGGCAACCAAGAACATTACCTAAACTTGCGAAAACTGGTTCTGTGGCAAAAGCAAAATATTCCCTGTTTTGAAATGAGAAATACAAGGATTAGTATCCAATCATGATTTCATTGGATTAATGATATTAGTATCCAATGATGATTTGATTAGATTAGATTAGTGATATAGATGTATAAGTATCCAATAGCATAGAGAGATTAGAAGAATCCAATGATGATTTGGATAGATTATTAGGATTTGTATCCAATGATGATTTCATTAGAGAATAAAATCTAATGGTAATTTGAGCAGATGATTAGTAACCATTGATGATTTGAATAGATTATTAAGATTGGTATCCAATCATGATTTGATTAGATTAGTATTGTGAGAATTAGTACAATGTATAATAAAATTAGTATTAATGATGATTTGATTAGATTAGTAAATTAGTATCAATGATGATTTGATTAGAGAGATTAGTATGCAATGGTTTGATTATTTAGATTAATATCAATGATTATTTGATAAGATTAGAATATAATAATGATTTGAGATTATTATCCAATTGTAATCTGATTAGATTTGTAGTGAGATTATTTTTTTCTTTCTATCTCAATATTATTATTTTGTAATGCCTAAACATTTATCACAGTCAACCTAATACACATTGAGCAGATGTTCAATAGTTAGTATGTTATTAACCTGGAGAAAGCATTTGTATATCTTTGAATTAGCCCAATAATTGGTTACATGGCGCTTCTGATTCACACACCAGAGTACTTGCTATACACAATGTGTAAAACTAAATTGTTTATAATTTTTTTGTTCAAGTTAAAATAAATCAGAAACAGCAGTGATTCCAGAGATTATCTAAATATAAAGATGAACTGTCAGATTAAATTGTTTGTCTGAAATGTCTACAGCTGATTGATTTTCTTGATAATCTTCTTGCAAGTTCAAGCCCCAGTTGATAAATTGACAGTGAAAGTGTTTCCCTGTGAAACAATTTATTTCAACAACAAAATAAGGCCATCTATGTTTTAAAAACTTGTAGTGTAGTAAGTAGTAAGAGAGCAATGGTCCCTTTAGAAATCAGTATCCTTAGTAAACCAATTATGAACCCATTGCTAGGTATACACAAATAATTACAGGTCATCTCTCTGAATTTTATATACATGAATTTCAAAACTAAAATGTTGACTATCCACAGCTGCATTAAATATTCATGTTTGGAGTTGAACAATTTTAATACACTACAGTGCAGATAAACATGCATGGTTACTTTTTGACAGTGAAATGAGTCACATCTCTGTGAGAACCTATCATCACATACATTTCACAACAGAGTATGTTTAACTGTTAATTCTCTTGTAAACATAACGCAGACCAAGTTAATTCCAGGATTGGTTTACCAGTGTTGACACGTCGCCATTTCAATTATATGTATGTCATTTCATGTCCTTGTTAACAAATGGTACGTAACTGCATCACCATTTTTTAAGTACAGCAGATGGGGCAAATTATGTTTGAATTTAAAGTAAATTTGAGAACTCAAAATTCAAAACAAATTCCAATGAATCATGTTGGACTCGAACTGATAAAAGATATAAATGCAAACCTGTGGCTGTTATGGTCTATTTCCTTGTTTTATCAATGAACTCTGACCCATCAAATACAAACTTACTCTACAGTATACAAAAATGAACAGGGCCTTGATCACATTAATAATTAATTATTATAAGGTGAATATTGTAATTGCTAACCTGGATTCTTCCAAGGGGTGTTGTACTGTCAAAAGTTTTGGATGGCGTAACCGTGTCAATTAAGTCACACCTTTTTTGAAAATATCCAACAAAAATTCTCGTTCTCTTCTTGAATACTTCTCCAATAGTTTCTTTTCTAGTACAAACACTGAGACTTCCTGCAAGACAATTCAAATTTATTTAAATATATATGTTATACAATGTACATGTATATGCAAAGATACAAGGGTATACTGTAAAATGACTAATTTTCACTGGGTTTAAATTTCGCTGATTTACCATTCAGGCATATTCAGTGGGTTTTAAATTCACAGTTTTATCATTTAGATAGTGTTTTCTATGCTAAATTTTACATATTCACTGGTTTTAATTTAGTGCATTTTCCAGTCAGTGAAATGAATAAAATTAAAACCCAGTGAATATGCAGTAATATGTAGAGCAATAGCATTAAAGTTTTACTGTCAGTAAAACTTAATAATAGTTCAATTGTAAGTAACACGGCCAAAAATCAAATTTGAAAGTCAATGCGTTTGCAAGTTATGCTCATTGTAAGCACAGTTATTTATGGCCTTCACGACAATAAATCTTGTCATGGTGTTAAAATTCAGCTTCAGTTGCTCCCAAAATACAACTGACTCAGAAAGTAAATAAAGTTTGCTTTGATAACGTGATAACATCATCGTCATGAGTAAAATAGTCATCCTATTAAATTCAAAAGTGATAACATCCTCATAAGTAAAATAGTTATCCTATTAAATTCAAAATAATGGGTTTAAAGTAAACAACTTGAGAGTCCTGTCTACAACTCAGACTCACAACTCTTAACTAAAAATGCTTCACAACAAATAGTGATTTTATAATATAGTACATTTTTGATCGTCAAACCAAAAATCTTATGTGTAAATTGATAACTTGAAAACACTCTAAGATGTTGAAAACAACCAGATCAAAGGATTTGCTCAGTGACATGCAGTTATTTCTGATGCAAATATGATATGAATACTGTAGCTATTACTTTTATTACAGTACACATAATACTTGACACATTAAAGGTTTCAAACATATCAATGTAAACAATAATAAAATGCACCATCATCTACTGCGAATCATGATACAAAAAAGCAATACATCAAACACGGAAGTCAATCACAACAATGCATCAACCGAATTAACAACAAGAAAGGTGACTGACCCCTAATCAGAAAACATATACCCTGTCCATACCTCTTTAGTGGATCGCTTAACTGCACTATAAATTTTCCAGATATATCCGGGACCAGCACTTGCATGGTGTTTATTAATATCAAAATCTTTAGATAATGGTATCCCTATAAGCCCACCCACTGTGCTCTGCACTGTATTCTTGATTTTATTCACTAAATCCATAATAGCGAATCATTAGTACTATACCTATAAGTAAAGAGATTAGTTATTAATGATTTCATTCATACCACACCACAGTTCGGTCAAGATAATTCGGGCAATGTCCGATTTTGATTTATCTTTAACCTATTAAATTATCATACATTACAGTCCGTGTGTAAATTAACTTCAAAGCTGACTATCAGCTGCCTTTGCTTTTTCATAAAAACTTTTATTGAGTTGTCCTCAATAAAGTTTCAATATATCCTTTGTAGTATACCCATGCTACATATACGAAACACGCTGGGACACATTTGCAATATTTATATATGTGACTGTTTTAAAATCAAGTTACACTATCCCTAATTAAGCCAGCTAAAAGCTAACTAAATATTAAGTTATGCTTGGACCGTATGAATACTTAATTATGAAACAGAATATTATTTACAAGTTATGAGAAATTTAGTATTTCTACCAGCTTTAAATATATTAATAATATTTAATGATACAACACTAAACTAAAGCAGTATAAAGTACATTTGGACTTTGCATGTCGGGAAAAAAATATGTTGACATACATGTAGTAGTGAAAAGTAAATACTGTAAAATCTGTATTAGAAACCACGACTTCAATTAAATTTGTACAATGTAATAGAGGGGATGCGGCATCTATTAGAGCATCTACACATATGAGAAATGATGAATTTTTGGTTCTCAATTATTCTAAAAAAATGCGGCGACTTCTATTTATTAATAGGGATGCGGCTATTACCGGTAATACAAATTTTACAGTAGTTATCATTACATCAAATTTGATCAACATCAGCCAATATCAAACCGGCACTCATTCTCTGCACGTAATAAGCTTGGTTATTAAGCATCCTTTTTTGGGGATGCCCGGTGGCCGAGGGGAAGACGTGTAGTGGCGTGAAACTAGGAGATTAGGTGCCGTACGTGAGCGCCGGTTCCAGTCATGCACGCAGTCAGTCTGGCTTTTCTTTGGTGAGATAAATGGTTTCATCAATAAATTACAAAGTACAGTCAAATCTTTGTTAGTGATCAAATTTTTTAAAAAGATCACCTGTCCATAGTGATCACCTTTGGACAGTTAGCATGTAAAGTGACCTGTATTGTATACAAAGTTCACGTGTCTAAAGTGACCAGAGACGAGCGAGAACATTTATTTATTTGTCAATTCATTATATCAGTTGACAAATTATAAACCTTTGAATTGATTGTAAGTTCTTGTCATATTTTCATTTAAATACAAACTTATCACCCTCTATACAAAAAACCTTAGATGGTTTCTGTACAGGTACTTGTTTGGCTTTTACCAGTACTTAATTTATGGCAGCCTAAATCCTGATAGTCGTAACCAAGTAAAGTACATAAAAAGGCAGGTACAATATCCGGAACATTTCTGAGAAAATAGTATATGTGTTCCAGGAATATACACTTAGGGCTTACTGATAGGGATGTATGGATAATAATGGTAGATAATGCAGCATAATAGCAAGAATGCAGTCAATATCTGCCACAAATAAGGTATGTACATGTATCTACAAAGCTGTTAGTATATTGTGATTCAAGTTAAAAGCTTAATAGGAGCCTGTAAGAGTTTGACCAGTGCAATTTTTTTTTCTCTGTGTCTTAATTGTACATTTTTATTTATAAACATGCCAACATTTTTTTTCTGCAACACCTTGCATGCAATTTCTTTCTCTTGGTGTCTACCTTGCAAATATATTTTTAACAAATCTTCCCGCCAAAATGATAGACACTAAATTTTATTTCATAGTTATTATTGTTAAAAAGTGATACATACATTTTTGTAACCTTACTGATTTGGGGATATGAGCTATTAAACAAATAGTATATATTATAACAGTGTATCACACCTGTAAATGCATGATTATGATTGGATGAGAGGTAGATTTAATGCATGATTATGATTGGATGAGAGGTAGATTTAATGCATGATTATGATTGGATGAGAGGTAATTTTAATGCATGATTATGATTGGATGAGAGGTAGTTTTAATGCATGATTATGATTGGATGAGAGGTAGTTTTAATTGGTGATTTCATCTCATGTAATGCATGAAATGTGCAGACGAAACATCTGCTGGCAAAATATGAATGATTTGATTTTGATTTTGAGCTTGTTCTGTTATAGCTCAATATCAAACTGCCGATCTTTCAGTTGGGAATATGGCATTTGGACACCTCTACTTCATCAAACCTGAACATCATCAATGTGTGTATAGCACATTATTAAATGTTAAAATACCTCATAAAATACACTTTGAATTTCTACCATTGAAAGTCACAGTATGCATGCTTCACCCTGACTTTTTAGAACAGTTTATTCAGTGGATATGTAACTATCATTATTATTCATGAAAGAAAATTTTACAGTTTCAAACTTGATCAATGACCACTCTCTGTGTTCAATATTGTCAACTGCACAAATTGTATTGCGAGTCTATTCTCTCTGTTGCATCATAAATGCTGCCTCAGTCTAAATACTATTTCCTTCATGTCCATATTTTTTTTTTCATTCACAGCAACCACTAGATTGGGTTACAGAGAAAACGTTAGCACAGTTTGATCAAATTTGACGAAATAATGTTTCAGATATAATATACTAAAAACAACCACCCTTGAGTAATGTAAATGTATACCATAAGATTTTGACCAGTTTCACAATGTGGACATTTGAACCAAAAACTTTAACCTAAACACTCATGTTCAATGACTTCAAAAGTTGATGTTGTTGCAATGTTATTTCCTGGTTAAATAAATAATTCATTCAAAGTTAGGTAATATTGCATTGATTGTTTACATGAAATTCGAACATACACTGTGTGACGATCACCACCCCTGAAGTGTTTATTCTATTTTGCCATATGAAAATAGTGAGTTAGTGATAGTAGGTAGTTGACGACCAAATGTTATTATTACTTTATCTTAAAATGACACTATGTACAAATGTAAATAACCATATTAAAGAGGCAATAGCTGAGATTTGGATCATTTTTAGTTTAAATACAAGCCATGCATGGCACAGTCCCTGTTATCGTAGTTATCAAATTTAAGATATATAGTTTGAACATAAACATGTCAGAGCTATGGTTCCAGAGGCTGATGCTTGATTATGATGATTTTTTAATAATAAAATGATTGACATTCAGTCATCTTGTATCTCATCATCGAATGATTTCTTATAGATGTCGAACCTGTAGCCATCTTTTTTCACTTGCAAGTGATTTAATGTATAATGTCGGTGTACAGCATATAAATTGGCACTAATGACACAGGAAATGATTTATTAAAAATGAAAAATCAGAGAAAAATGATAAATAGTTATTGCCAATTTAGAGGGCGATGATTGTCGCACCGAGCATATGCGACATTTCTGTTGGTAAACATTGATTTTCCCAAAATTCAATGCACACTTATAATCAAAATCAAAAAATCAAAATCAAAAGTTTTAATTTTAATCTGGCTGCGACATGCACCAAAGAAATTACCTTTGCCTAATTTAATCACCAAAGAAATTACCTAGTTAAAGCTTCTCAGTTAATAATAATATAATAATCTTTATTGCATCCTCAGAAATACAATCTTTCTATCAGTCCAATAAAGTAATAAAAGAAAGTTTAGTTTGTTAATAAGAAGATAAAAATAACAGTAAATGAAAGTACCTAGTAATAAGTTTTATTTCTGATTTCAAAAGATTTGTAATTATACTTCCCTACTTGTTTAATTATATTTTGGTTTTTATTGCTCATCAGAAATATAAACCTAATAAACCTAATATATACCTGTTTCAATAGCCAGGTTATGGCACAGTCCCTCCACACCAGGTGTTGAGGGACAGTGGTTATGGTTACTGGTTCTAAATTTACATAAAGTGGCTCTTTCTTGTACTTGGTCTGCACAATAGTCAAAGTTGCTACCTTTGTTCATATGACCTCATATCTCGCGCATGCGTGGCCAGATGACCGTCACCCTATACGATTCATATTTGTCACTTGTAGATGCATTCATAGACCCTACAATATATTGTATTATATTTTCCATTATGCTCACTGGGATACAAAACACTTAGATATAAAATGAAACTCTTTTTCAAAAATTTTCGTTTTAGTATATGGAAAGGGTTTGGATCTGCTATTCCATATGAGATTGTTTGTAATTGATTTTAGGCACAATCTGCATTTCGATAATTGATACATTAAAGGGCAGTGGAAGCTGTGCAGCGTGTGTTCGAATTTCATGTAAACATTATTATTATATGATATGATATGATATTATTACATTACATTACATTACATTACATTACATTACATTACATTACATTACATTATATTATATTATATTATACACGCGTTGTGTAAGATGATATGAGTTGGGGTGTCCCATATCGAACAGAACGCGGCGCGACGACTACCGACTTTACTAGTAACATGGGAGTCTAGAACAATATAATGACCAGCATCCCAATGAAGTCGGCACCTAATAACAATTCAAAATCGTGGTAACTGACTGTGATAATTATATCAGTGACTGTGTTGGTGTCAATGAGGTACATAAATATGTAACACCAGGAAATGTACATATACAAAACAGATAACCAATGATAAATCTTCACATTCAATTCACAGGCGTTGATTCAATTATGGAAAGTGAGGCAAAATGTGTGAATATTATACTATGGTATGTACTATTATTCCATAAAGTTGTCCATACAATCGAACAATAACAAAAATAAATTGCCACATTTTCTTTTAAAATGTTGTAATAAGTTTTGCAACAGAAGACCATATAGTACGTATGTGTGTTTTCATAAAAAAAATATAACGTTACCCCTATGTCATCGCCCGTCCGCCATCATTGTTGACATGTATATATACAACCCAGTAATTCGTAGCAACTACATTCGTCAACGTTTTAGCATTAGAAAATTACGAAAATAAAATAGAGATCAATAAATAGAGCAATTTAACCGATTTAGAGATGTAGTAAACATAAGTGTTCACAATTGTCTAAACCATAATTTATGTTTTATTTTTCGGCTAAGAAATGTGAAATATGTACTAAGCATGCGCGCATAAACTCGTCTTTCATTGCCTATCAGACTGAAGTAAGCTGGCACTACATTCGAACATTTAAAGCTGTCAAATGACCAAAATTTAAAAATTCTAGGTGTTGAGTTCAAAAGATAGTTTCATTGCCAGGAGTTTTTATTCGTAAAATCTTAGAAATTTATGCAAATTTCTGATTTCCCCCCTGTTTTATTCATTATTGTCGTCCGTGATAATGTTCTTTCATTTGTCAAATATTCTATTCTATTCTATTCTATTCTATTCTATTCTATTCTATTCTATTCTATTATATTCTATTCTATTCTATTAACAGCTATGAATTTTGGGGGTATTTCCCTGCTTAATAATGTCCTATATACATTTGATGATTCGTAATTTGGGTGAAGTGAGGACATCTCACCGCCATATTCTCTTCTGAAAGATCGGCATTGCCACATAAATTTAACTTCAAAATCAAATCATTCTCTTCGATTTGTTGCAGACGTTCGGTCCAAGCCTTTCACGCAATACGCATTGAAATACCATAAAAACTCAAATCATCAAATGATTTATAAATATATAGCAAAATAAAATTAGCTAAGATAAATTTTATTACAGCTGTATAATAATAAAATATATTTCTATTTGAGCGGAAAATGTAATAGAGAAATAAATCAAATTATTGTCGATAACAATAAGATATCTGGTTGAAAATGACAACAACAGGTCACTGGATGTTTTGTCTCTAATTGAACTGAAGAATACATTTGCATGTAGTGTTGTAATGTGTCATCTTCGTCAGCCAAGGACCATTATTTATTCGGCCGAAACCGTGCGATTCGGACGATGGTAATGTGTAGAATAACACTATTTGATAATGCACCCTCTAGCGCTGCGCAGTCACACTATAAGAACTGGCAACATTTGGGCCCAAAATTTCCGTTCGTACTCTTTAGGAGGAAACCCGTCATCATACTGGAATTTGTACTTCTACGTGACTCACCTGAAACTAATGAAAGTACGCTTTATGATTTCAACGGAAAAGCTTACACTGTAAATTTTGAATTATTCACGGGGTTTTAATTTTGCTATTTTCATTGATGAGTAAGATCCGCTAAAAATTAAATTCATATGAACATGTAAAATAACACAATAACTCATTGTTTTTCTGGGGAATTAGTAAAATTAAAACCCAGTAAATATGTTCAAAATACTGAAATAGTGAATTTAAAAATTCCAATAATCGTTTCCCGGAGTCGACTTACTCAGTAGTATAAAACACAGCACAGTCTGTCCTCTAGGTACGCGGCTGGATCGCATGTGCACTTGCAATTATTGCCAGAACATTAGGCATTTTAAATATCGCCTTGCCGGAATTCAGTGACAAATAAAGTTTAAAGTTTCTAATACGTGTACTATTTTATTTAGTTTTGAAATACACTTAAAGTTATAAAACAGATAGATATTATAGATTTAATAAATGAGTTATGAAATAGTAAATACGAAGAAGGGGAAAATGAGATAACACTTACCAGCTGTTGAATTCACTTTCCCCTATATATTTTACTTTTTTTAATTTATCATGGATTTTACAATGAATTTCATGGAGCAATTAATTTTTTATATAAAATATTTATATATTTCACAAACTATATTCTAGATGACGAACGAATACACAAACATACACCGTGGCAGTTGTTGCTATTCATCTATTCATGCCTTTATGAAATTCACAGTACCGTATTTTGCAATCCAATTATGACCTATGGTATCCAAAACATTCATACATTTATGAAAAGAAATCATTTCAATAAATTTATAGTATCTCACTTTCCTGACAATTACTGACATTCTCAGTAGTAGTTTAAAACGGATGATAGTTGCGCAACTCCCGGGCGCAACTAAAAAGATTTTTTTCTTAGGTTTTAGTTTGAGCGTATAAGCGACTGCAAATGCTTTTAATATTAACAGCTGCTAGTGTCTGATAGCTTTCCGGTGTTCGGGGAATAACGGGGGGAATTCCCAAAGCATGTAATGACCCGGAAAGCGGACACGAACGCATTCGTTACGTAAGTCGAGTCAATTGTGTCGATTTAGAACTTGCAAGAAATATATTGATGAACTGGTGCATTTGAGAAAACTTGCCATATATGTGTCTCGCTTCACTCCCTGAAGTTGAAGTGGCGTCACATTGTTCGGGCTGGTTGTAAAATTCAGATAGTCATTGTTGACGTTGTCTACTTCCTTGTTTAAAACATGGATACTTCTCATTGACTATGTCAGCGTTCTGGTGTGTCCAGTTTCGTCACTGGTGAGTATTAATACGCAACATCTACATGTCTCTCATTATAGTTTCACCGCAAGAAATTATTTAAAATTGTCTTCGGTTATTCAGAGTTCTAAGCATAGTTTCTTGAAGTATGATAGTTCCGCATCCACGACTGTGTGTGGGTCGGGGGTTATCACAACTAATGTCGACCCCCTTCTTGTCATGTACGCAAGACTATCTACACATAATGTACCCCACATGGTGTACTTTAGTTGTTTATCACTCAGTAACTTGCACTATTAATAATAGTTTTATGGCTTCAAGTAAAAGGAAGTCGCAAATCATCAAATATTAAATGCGGTATTAATGTAATCTATAAGGTTGTCAGTGTAGCAGCAGATGGTATTAACTAAAACTTCAATTACATGTATATAGCTCAATAATTATTAATATTTTTTTTTTTGATATTAGAATAACAAAACCACTAATTTCGCCAGAAAGGTTATTGACATATTCATGGGTCACATTAAATCCGGCTTGGTGCCTGGGAATGCTATATTCCTGATGCGGCAGGTGTTCATGCTTCATGACTATCTGTTTAATATCTGATTGATTATATATTTCAGGAATGATATTGCGTACTTTCATGTAGACGCAAGGAGAATAATTCCTACTTGACCTGAATTTGTTAACTGCTTACATGGTGTCATGGAAGAAGCCGATGAAAGTGTTGGTTATGATATGGAATTTGTTCCACCATTGGAGTCCAAGTATGAATGCCCGATTTGTTTGATGGCATTGCGTGAACCAACTCAAACACAGTGTGGACATCGTTTCTGTCGCAGTTGCATCTGTCAGTCAATGAGGTAAGCCTTTTCCGAACACGTGCATGCAGATTATGCCATTATACTTGGCTGAAAGAATAACAGGAATTACCTCTCCCATCCACCAGAGGACAGTACTAGTAATTGTTTATGTTGGCTGCAGCTGAGTAGCTGTCTTTGTTCAAAGTCCACTTCGGCTGACATATTTATTGTAATGATACAAGGAGCTAATAACACATTCATGTTTAAGAAGTTGGTTGTAACCTTATTAGCTCAGTGCTCACCCCAGAAAAAAGATCACATACTAATTTGCATAACAAAATAATATGTTAATAACTTTTTGTATTCATTGTTGTGCTAAATTGGCTTTATTGTTTATCAAAAATTAAAGATTACTCTGTAATGTCCTGGGAAGAAGCCTACATAGCTGTCATTAGTCGCTTTCTAGCTCCGCTGGCGACTTTGTCGAGCGAGGCTATCATATGAATGATTGTCTTTTTACTCTTTCGACTTCTTCTTGAAAACTACAAGCCTGATTGTTTTGATACTAGGTGTATATTTACCTTGGAAAGACCTCACTTAGATTTATTCATTTCATTTCAGTGATTCATTTCTCTAATTTTGGTGAATATTTTTGTCATATTTGGTAAAAAGTTATATTTTTGACTTTTTAAAAACCGCTTTGATATTATACATATAGGTACTACAGCTGGAACTCTCAAATTTGTTCATTTCATGATGATATTTTTAATTCTCTAATTTTGATGAATATTTTTGTCTTTTAGTAAAAGTGATATTTTCGACTTCTTGTTGAAAACTGATGGCTTGATGGCTCTTATATTATACATATAGGTACTTCATGTCAGCCGATCTCAGATTGCATTGCTAACAGCAGAGCTATCTCAGCTGAGAGGTTGCTTGTTAGTCCCCGTTCGGACGCAGTCCAAAAACGGGGACTTATGTTTTGACCTCCGTGCGTGCTGTGCGTGCGTTTGTGCGTGCGTCCGGACCTGTATCTTAGAAATGCCTGGACCAATCACAATCAAACTTGACACATACATCATACATGATACTATACATATGCACATCAATTTGTTTCACGATCTGATTCAAGATGGCCGAATGGCGGCCATTTTTGTGCTAAAAATCATCAAAGTCAAGCATTTCTCGGCTGTTTACAGATGGGTATTGTTCAAACTTGGTATATACATTAGACATTATAGGACCTTGAGGCACATCATTTTGTTTTACGATCTGATTCAAGATGGCGGAATGGCGGCCATTTTTGTGCTAAAAAATCCTAAAAATCAAGCATTTCTCGGCTGTTT